CAGATGACCTGGCTGCCTTGGCCTCCCGAAGTTCTGGGATTACAGGCATGAGCCACCATGCCCGGCCATGTTCTTAATTTTAATGAATCCAATTTATCAATATTTCTTTTCTTTTTTTTTTTTTGAGACAGGGTCTGGCTCTGTTGCCTAGGCTGGAGTGCATGGCACATCTTGGCTGACTGCAACCTCCGCCTCCTGGGCTCAAGCCACCCTCCCACCTCAACCTTCCAAGTAGCTGGCACTACAGGTCTGTCACCACTATGCCCAGCTAATTTTTGTATTTTTAGTATAGAGAAAGGGTTTCTCCATGTATCCCAGGCTGGTCTTGAACTTCTGAGCTCAAATGATCCACCTGCCTCAGCATTCCAAAGTGCTGGGATTACAAGCCTGAGCTCCCATGCCTGGCCTTTTCTTTCTTATGGTTAGTATTTTTGTGACCTATTTAAGAAATCTTTGCCTGCCCAAGATGTTCATGTTCTTCCAGAAGCCTGACTGTTTTAGCTTTCACACTTAGGTCTATGGTCCCTTTTGAATTAGTTTGTGTATACGGTGTGAGGCTCAGCCTGACCTCCCTGTATGATGTCTGGGAGCCAAGCTACCTGCCTATGCATCCCTCTGGGTATTGGCAGACCCTGATGGTAATACAGCCACCCCTGAGGTGACCCCAAGAGTGCCAGGAGGGAGAGGTTATCCATGGAGCTCAGCATCGTTTACTGACTTAATTCCCCCCATGGTGCTTGGCTGTGGGAGAAGCAGAAAATGCCCTGGAGAGCCTTCACCAGGAGCAGCTGCTATTGGAAGAACTTTACTTAACCCTTCAAGTCTCATTCCTACACCTGCATAGGCCAAGAGGCCCTCCCCAAATCCTCAGTTCCTGGCCCTCAAGGCCTTGCACATGAACTCTGGTAAGTGAGTGAGTAAGTGAATGAATGAAGTAACATAGCCATCCATGCTTGCATTCCATGTCCCCTACTCTGAGCCAGTCTCTCTAGCGAGGTTAGGGGTTCAGGGTCCAGGCAATGGAAGCCTCTGACAGCTCCTCTTGGGTTTGCCTGTCTCCAGTGCAGCTGCTCCTAGACCACGGTGCTGATCCTAACCAGCGAGATGGGCTGGGGAATACGCCACTGCACCTGGGTAAGCATGTCAGAAGTCACTAAGACCACTCATTTGCAGCAAAGAAAGGCTCTTTAGATGAAGAGCCTGGGGCCCTGCATGCTCCCAGCAGTATCTGTGAGTGTCAGGGAAGATCCTAGGCCTGCACTCCCAGAGCTGCCCTCCCCAGCAGCCTGTGTCCCGTGGGTCATTTAGCAGTTGGCTGTGCCCTCGACAGAGTCAATTTAGCAACCTAGGCTAGCCCAGCAGCACTCAGCACTGTGACTCACAGTGAGGCAGATCCCATCTCCAGGCCTCAGTTTCCTCTGCTGTACAGGGAGGGAGTTGAACTTGGCTGCCGAGTCCTACCCAGCTGTTGCCTTGGCGATACCTTCTCAGTAGGCATAACTTGGCACAGGCATCTGGGAGACAGCCCTGCTCCCTCCAGTGGCCACACAGAGCCAGGCTCTGGTGGTCCTGGATTCTTTTTTTTTTTTTTTTTTTTTTT